CCCCCCCCGCTCTCAAAAATAAAGATTAAAGAAACAAAAATTTCAGACAAAACCAGAAAACTACATCAAAATTTACCAGCAACCCAAACGGGAGACAAAATTCCCGTGTTTAGTACGGGAAGTGGGACTTGCGTGGAGCAGCGAAGGCCAGTGAAGGAGATGACAATGGGGGCGTCGCCACCACCACGCCGTCCTGTCCACACGTGAAATCCCATCCCGTGGCGACCAGGGCCTATAAGTTTTCCTGTTGTCAAGGAACAAGGCACACAGTGGAATGCAGACAGAAGATGGGTTAATTTTTTTAATGTAAGGGAGAATAAATAGTAAGGTATTTTCAGACCTTAATATATCAATAATTGCAAATGGCTAAACACTTCTTAAAAGATAGTGGCAGTGGTTAAAGGAACAGACCTGACTGCTGTCCCAAGGGATGCAGCTGACATGCCGGGTGGCACTCGAGAAGGAGGTAGGTTGTGGGTTTCCCACCGTAGGTTGTGACGGGAGTGATGTCTCCTCGTGCCTCGGGCCTTGCTGGGCTCGGCTGGGGTCACTTGAGCCAGAGGGGAGATCACTCCATGGAAATTCAGGGGCCGGCGGCCACTTCGGCGATGTGTTTGGGGGTGCGGTGGTGCGGGCCATGTTGGAATGTCACGGTCAAGGTGAAGGCCAACTCACACCTTACTTGCACCTTGCACTGCCCACTGAGGCGCCTGGTGCAGGAGGCGCTGGCCGCGGGCCTGTGTGTTTGGAGCCCCGGACCGCATCTGAAGGTCCTGTGCTCACGCGGTTAGGGAGCAACCCAGAAACACGGGTGCCCCTCTTGTTCTCGTGGAGGGTTCCAGAAGGCTTGTTTATGTGGAGTCTATGTACTGCTATCTACCATCTTAGAAATTAAGTTGAGAACTTCAAAAATTACTCATGAGAAAACATTGTTACCATATTTCTAATTATTTTCCAAAAGACATGTGAGAAAAATGGCACTGTTTTACAGTTTTGCAAATAATAGCCCGTTCTCAGACGTCCTGCATTCGGTCTGGGTGCCTTGTTCTGCTTGAGGTCCATGAAGAAAATCCAATCTCACACAGCAAAGGGAGTGTTTTAATAGTTGTTTCAGAGAATTGTGGGTATTTTCTGAGACAATACCAAGCTCGACAGATGGTTGTTTTTGTTTGTAATCGGCCATTTGAATTTCTTTTCTATTTTATTACTGAAGTATAGCTAACATGCAGTGTCCTGTTCAGGCGTCGGGCACAGCAGTCTGGCGGGGCCCAGCAGTGCTTTCCTCCCCTTACACTTACCGTGTAACTGGAAGTTTGTGCCCCTTACTCCCCTCCACCTGCTTCGTCTGTCTCCAGCACACCCCCCATCTCTGGCAACCGCCCGTTCCTCCTCTGTATTTAAGAATCTGTTTGCTCACTTATTTTGTTCTTTAGATTCCTATACCTGAAATTATAGTATTTGTCTCTGTCTGATTTCACTTGGCCTGATTCCCTCCAGGTCCATCCGTGTCACAAATGATGAGATTTCATTCTTTTCGATGGTATATATACACATATGGAGTAGAATATTACTCAACCATCGAAAAGAATGAAATATATATATATATATATATATATATATATATATATATAGCGCACATGTTCTTGGTCCATTCTTCTGTCGACGGACACTCTCTCCATACCTTGGCTGTTGTTAATAATACTGCAATAAACACAAGGGTGCGTATATCTTTTCTAATTAGGGTCTCCATTTTATTTGGGTAAATACACAGTAGTGGGATTACTGGATGATAGGATGTTTCTATTTTTAATTATTTTTTAAAGTTTATTTGTTTGTTTTGAGGGAGAGCGCGTGAGTGAAGGAGGGGCAGAGAGAAAGGGAGAGAAAGAATCCCAAGCAGGCTCCACGCTTTTAGTGCCCGAGCCCGATGCGGGACTTGAACCCACCAACTGAGATCATAACCTGAGCTGAGACCAAGAGTCAGATGCTCAACCGGCAGAGCCACCTAGGCGCCCCTCCTTTTTCACTTTTTGAGGACCCTCCACCCTCTTCTCCAGGGTGGCTGGCCAGCCTGCGTTCCCACCAACAGCGCATGAACGTTCCCCTTTCTCCACAGCCTCGCCAACGCTTACTTCTTGTGGTGTTGGTTTTAGCCGTCCTGACAGGTGTGAGGTGGTATCTCGTGGTTCTGATTTGCGCTTCCCTGATGACGAGCGACGTCGAGCGCCTTTTCACGTGTCTGTTGGCATCTGGATGTCTTTGGAGAAATGTGTATTCGGCTCTTCTGCCCGGTTTTTAAACGTATCGCGTTTTTGGTGTTGAGTTGTACGAGTTCTGAATAGATTCTGGATATTAACCTCTGGTAAGTCATTTGTAAAAACCTTCTACTTGTAGGTTGCCTTTTCGTTTTATTCATGGCTCCCCTCCCTGCGCAAAAGCCGTTTACTTTGATGCAGTCCCAGCAATTTATTTTTGCTTTTATTCTCTCGCCCGAGGAGACGTACTTACAAATATGTCGCTAAGGCCGACGTCCAAGAGACGACCGCCAGTGTTCTCTTAGGATTTTTATGGTTTCAGGACTCCCGTGTAGGTCTTCAGTCCGTCTTGAATCTATTTTTGTGTAAGAAAGTGATCTTGTTTTGCTTGTTTTTTGCATGTGGCTGTCCAGTTTTCCCAGCACCATTTCTTGAAGAGACTGTTCCCCACTGGATGTTCCTTCCTGCTGTGTCATAGAGTAATTGACTATGAATGTGGGTTTATTTCTGGGCCGGCGCCCTGTTCGGTTCTGCTGATCTACGTGTCTTTTTGTGCCGGAACCATACTGTCTTGACCGCTACAGCTTGGTCCACCTTGGAGTCCGGGCTGGTGACACCTCTCGTCTCGTTCTTTCTTGGGACTGCTTTGGTTATTTTGAGGTCTTTTGTGGTTCCGTACACACTTCGTGATTATTTATTCTAGGTCTGTGAAAAGAAGCAGTGGTACTTTTCTAAAGGTTAATTTCTTTTTTTTTTTTTTTCAACGTTTATTTATTTTTGGGACAGAGAGAGACAGAGCATGAACGGCGGAGGGGCAGAGAGAGAGGGAGACACAGAATCAGAAACAGGCTCCAGGCTCTGAGCCGTCAGCCCAGAGCCCGACGCGGGGCTCGAACTCACGGACCGCGAGATCGTGACCTGGCTGAAGTCGGACGCTTAACCGACTGCGCCACCCAGGCGCCCCTCTAAAGGTTAATTTCAAAGTGGAATGTGAAACTATATAAGATTTTTTTTTTTACTTTTACTACATTAAAACCCTTTAGTCTTTGTTTCATGTTTTTGATTTTATTTAATTTATTTTTTAATTTTTTTTAATGTTTATTTATTTTTGACAGAGAGAGACAGAGCATGAGCAGGGGAGGGGCAGAGAGAGGGAGACACAGAGTCAGAAGCAGGCTCCAGGCTCCGAGCTGTCAGCACAGAGCCCAACGCGGGGCTCGAACTCACGGACCGCGAGATCGTGACCTGAGCCGAAGTCGGATGCTCAACCGACTGAGCCACCCAGACGCCCCTCTTGTTTTTGATTTTAAATCCTTTCGTCTTTGAACAGATACTGTGCTCCTGCATAGTTTTTTTATCAGTGGGCACCGGTTGTTTGGAAAGCATTGTTTCGCTGAGTTTACGCAAGTTTTCCCGATGTTAAGCAGCTCTTTCCACAACGTGGAAGTGAGTTATGTAGACACACCTCTGAATAGGCCCGGAGCGAAGGTGTTTGCGTCTGTGGAGGTGGCAGGGGGCTTCCCTGACAGACGAGGCTCCTCCGTGCCGTCCCGGCCACGTGGAGACGGAGCGTGGTGCCCCGGCCACCGTCCCAGCAAAGGTCCTCCCTGCCCTCGAGCCTTCCCAGCCGAGCTGTCCCTTGCACATGCTCCTGCCCCAATTGCAGGTTGTGAGCGGAGGACAGGTTCACAAAAGACTCCCGCCACTCTGTGCCGGCGTGGTGTGCGAGGACAGGTGCCCTGGGCACCTGGCTACTTGCCGCCGCTGATCGTGGCGCCTGCCCCCTGCCGAGACCGCATTCCCGGGTGTCGTCTGGGCACCTGGTGACCGACCTGGGTCCCTCCCGTCATCGAGGGGAGACCAGTCTGTCTGTGCTGGATACCGAGACCTGGGCTGGCCTTCCCTGCCGCCCTTTTGCCAGCGTGTAGCCGATGGACTCAGAGACCTGGGTCTCCGCCGTGGGAGCCAAGGGGCCTCTCACACCACGTGCCCGGTGTCTGAGCCCCCCATTCCCACAGCCCTGGGTCCTGCTGATCTGGGGAACTTTATCCAGAGCGTGTGACGCGTGAGCGCCTGCGCTGTGGGAGGCTGGAGCCGGGCAGGTGCGTGGCTCCCCTTGGTGCCGTCTCTGAGCAGGCGTGGGACCGTTCGTGCCTCGAGGCTGACCCACGGCAGTGACCTTTCTGTCTGAATCTGAACCGTGGGCTCGGCAAAAGGGGGGCCCAGTGACAGCAAAGAAGCCCTCAGGCCTGTCAACAGGGAGTCGGTGTAGGCTGGGCTCCTGGTCCCAGGCTGAGAAATGAGCTCGCTTACTGGGTGTTGGTTGATTTCAGAACGTCTGTGGCAGGCCGCTGCGTGCCAGGCGTTAGGCAGGGGTTGTGGACACAAACGCAGGTGTGGCCCCTCCGACGGAAACCGGAGGCAGGTGGGACAAACAGGCTGCCCAGAGGACATCCCCACCCTAATCTAAAGCGCAGCGGTGTCTGAGCACGCACAGCACAGGCTCCAGAGCAGGAGGGAGTGCGGGCATCTGGGGTCTCAGAACCCGGCGGGCGCGGAGAGGACCGAGGGGCCCGGCTGGGAGGGGAGTGCGGGACCTTGTGTTCTGTTCATTCCAGGAGCTGGGGAGGACCGGGCGACTCAGGTGAGCGGAGGCAGGGAGGATGCGTGATCGGACTCATACCCTGAGCAGTTTCCTCTGCCAGCAGGGTGAGCAGTGGGCCTGGAGGAGGGGTGGTGGTTGAAGGGGCGCATGGGGAGGGACGTGGGGGGTCCAGCAGTGGCACATGTCAGCTTGGGGAAGAAGGAGGGGAGGGGTGTGTGCTGGTCTGGAGGTGTGGGTGTGGGGACAGGGGCATCGGTGCGGGGTACCGGGTCCAGACCCTTGTCAGCCGAGGTCGTGGCGCCCTCTGCTGGAAGGGGCCTCAGAGGCCCAGGGGGACTGGCCGGCGGGGCTCCGTGAGGTCCGCTGTGGCTCCCGTGTGGCTCCCCTGGCCGACTGCGGTCTCAGGAAGGGGTGTAGGGGCACGCCCCGGGCCACGAGGCCTGGAGAGCTGGGCTCGGCCCTTCCCTGGCCGCGGCTTCACCCCTGTGAGCCTCAGTGTCCCCGTCGGAGGAGCGAGGGCCGCAGGAGGAGTGTCACACAGGGACGGTCGTCACAGGCTGTCGACATGTGTAATGTGATGAGACAACAGCTCTGGAAGGTTCCATCCTCCCCTCCCGCCGAGCCGGCCGGGAGCAGGCGGGCAGTTGCACTTAGCCAGAAGGAGGTGTCTGCCCCTCTGCACCCCCCCCCCCCCCCCCCCCCCTCCCCCCGTGTGCGGCAGGAGGCATCCCCAAGACGCCTGCGTGTTCCCGGTGCCCACTCGGACCGGCAGGGCCTTCGGGGGCAGGTCCTGTGTCCTGTGACCCATGTGGGAGTCCAGGGGCTCCGCGCGCAGGGGGCGGGCGGGTAGCGAGCGGCAGCCACGGAGAGAGCGAGCCCGCAAGTCTGTTAGCTCCTCTTCCTCGCACCCGCTCCAGTTACTGCCAGTGGTGGCGCAGGTCCTTCCAGAACTTTCCAGCGGACGCCGCCGCTGGAGTCCCACTGGGGCCGGGCAAGGGAGAGCCCAGAGCCGGAGCACAGCCAGGGCGTGCGCGCGAGCACGGACGGGTGCTGTGGCGCGGGCGCGCCCGGTTGTGTGCAGGGCAGGGACCCGCGCCCCTGGGTCCCGGCGCCTCTGGGACGGTGGGGGTGGGGCGGCTGCGGAAACAAAACCAGAGTCAAGCGGCCCTTGTGCGTGTGGCTCTGTGGCCCGTCTGCATCGTGACCCTGAGGATGCTGGCAGAGTGAGAAAAACAGGAACCCAGGCACCTGGATGGCTCGGTCGGCGGAGCGTGCGGCTCTCGACCTCGGGTTGTGAGGTGACCAAAAATAAAATCTTAAGAAGGAAAAGGGAATTGAAAATGAGAAAGAAGATGTGAGACATGGGGCGGATGGTTTCAGGAGAGCGGATCAGCTTTGCAAGGCAGCCCTGAGCGGGCGGGCGTGGGCGCCGGGGGACAAGCCTCCGAGGGTGCGAGGGAAGGAGGGAAGCCCCTGGGGGAGGCTGGCCCGTGTCGCCAGCGTGGGGCCTGCTGTCCCAATGGTCGCTCCCGCCTCTGCTCCCACGAGGGAGGGGCGTTTTCCCGAGACCAGCCTCCGGGCCGTCCAAGAATCCCAGAGGTCCGTCCTCCCTCCGAGGCCGGACTGCAGGGCCCCAAAGTCAGCGTGTGCGCTGACAGGTTGTGGCGACCACAGGTCCCCGCGGAGCATGGGGCCGGGCCCACTCTGGGGACGCCTGCACCCCAACTTGCCTGAATGGCTCCTTCTCGGCTACCATGTGTTCAGCCCTCATCAGTCAGTCTTTCCTGGTGTGGGGACTGTCCCGGGAGCCCTTAGACTTTGAACTTGGGTCAGCTGCCAGCACCTCTTCCCTTCCCCTGGGGGGGCCCCTGCTTTCCCCTGTGAGCCTGCCTCAGGGCCAGCCGGGCCACCTCAATGGCCATCCCTGCCTCCGTCCTCTGGCCCGCCGTCACCTGGCGAGGCCCTTCGAGGCCCACACACGGCAAGTCTCGTCTGCCCGCGGCCCCAGCGCAGAAAGCGTGGGAGGCTGCCCCAGGGCCTTTCCCTGGCTGTCCACCGTCTGTCTGTTCTTTGTCCCCAGACCCACCGTAAGTTCTCCACTTCTTCAAAACACGCCAGGGACTGGGCAAAATAGGCACCCGCTAACGTTCCCCCCCCAGCCACGCCCCGGTGGCAGCCAGGGACCCAGCAGGGGAAGGACACGCGGGTCCAGAACCGCAGACAAGGGGAGGAGCCGGGTCGGCGGTGCCCGCGACCGACTGACCGTCCGGCCCCGAGGGCACCTTCCATCGCTCCGGATTCCTCCCCAAGGTTGGGAGATTCCCGAGGATGGTCTGCGGAGGCGGGGGAGGGGGGGCACCGAGAGCTGGCGTGACAGCCGCGCTGTGTCGCCTCCGGACTCTGTCATTTGGGGCGTGTTGCTCAACCAGGCGGCTCCTCAGTTTCCTCCTCTGAAAATGGGATCATAACCACGTCCAGCTCACGGGGTGCCCTTTGTTGGAGGGGCAGTCTGGCCGGTGACAGTGGCAGCAGAGCGTGCCGGGGCGTCGAGCTAAGCTGCCCGTCCCCGGAAGGGAGCCCCCCACCCTTGGCGCGGCCCTCAGGGCCCCGCAGGGGCTATAGGGGCAGGGTCACTCGTCCTCCCGCCGGACGTGCGGGGCCAGGGGCTCCACCAGGACTCTCCCGCGGTAGTGGACTCCCTCCCTGCCGGTCCCCCTCGGTGTCCCCAGGGGCCCCTGGCCCCCTGAGCTGCTCCATCAGTCCCTGCGACAGACGCAGCCTCCAGCCGAAACTCGTGGGGGCACTTACACTCTGCTGCCCCAGTAGGCCTTGGGAGCTCGGCCTCACCTGCCGCCCTTGTGGGGCGGCTGTGAGCGTCGGGCCACAAGTGTGACGCAGCTCCGTCCGGCGCGGCACACAGCTGTAGGCGTCCCTTCCCGCCCGAGGCGTCAGGTAAACAGGGGCCGGGCTGGAATTCGGGGCACTCGCAAAGCATGGAGACTCGGGGTCTCCCCGATCACACGCTCGGCAAGCCAGACCCGCCCGCCGGTTCTCCGGGGAATGCCGCAACTTCAGCACTAAACATCCCCGGTCTCTGGAGGAGCCCGAGTGCCGGGCGGGGCAGGGCAAGCCCGGCCCGAGTTCTTCGGTGTCGCAGGTGGGAAGCTGCTTGTACTTCTGTGCACACGCACGTTTGTGACACTTCACAGAACAGGAGCCTGCCCTTTCCTGCCCACGCACACCGCATCTGAGTAGGGGAGAGGCTTGACGTTTTCAGGTTTGGGGGCTGCCGAAAGGCTTCATGCCTGTCCCCAGAAGGGTGGCTTGTGTGCGTGGACGCTGCTCTCCGGAGGCGGCTGGACCCAGAGGAGGGCCCCCCCCCCCACTCTGGAGGAGGGGTGTCTTCGCCCAGGAGCCCGAGCGCTCGTGCAGGTGGCACTTGGCCTGAAGGGGACGTTTCTGGGCTGGCGGGTGCGGCCCTTCCCACGGCGCCCGGCGGGCAGAGTGGGTGCATCACCCTGGTTCCTCTCCCGCGACCACCCGCTGGGACCACGGGCCCCCAGCCTCAGCTTCCTCTGCGGACGTCGCGGCGCCCCCCGTGCCTTCCAACACGCCTCTCCCTTAACTGTCCTTTAGCGAGGCCCACTCGTCCCTGAGAGCTCAGCTCCAACGGCCTCCACCTGCGGGGCCCCGTCTCCTGGGCACAGAGCCCGGTGGCGTCCCGCACGAACCCACAAGGGGCTCACCCTGGACTTTTTTTTTTTTTTTTTTAGGTACAATTCACATACCGTAAAATTCCCACTTTCAAAGTGTACCACGCAGGGGCGCCTGGCGGGCTCAGTGGGTTAAGCGTCCGACTCTTGATTTCAGCTCAGGTCGTGATCTCACGGTTTGTGAGTTTGAGCCCCGCATCGGGCTCTGCGCTGACAGTGTGGAGCCTGTGCGGGATTCTCTCTCTCCCTTTCTCTGCCCCTCCCCTGCCTGTGCTCTGTTTCAAAAATAAACGTTTAAAAAAAGGTTTATTAAAAAAGACTACGTTCTGGGTGAAGATTTAGGTTAAATTGTTTTTCCAACTAGGTGTCCAATCTACCACCTTTTATCGAGTAGTAAAAATTAACGTGTCCAGGGCGCCTGGGTGGCGCAGTCGGTTAAGCGTCCGACTTCAGCCAGGTCACGATCTCGCGGTCCGTGAGTTCGAGCCCCGCGTCGGGCTCTGGGCTGATGGCTCGGAGCCTGGAGCCTGTTTCCGATTCTGTGTCTCCCTCTCTCTCTGCCCCTCCCCCCGTTCATGCTCTGTCTCTCTCTGTCCCAAAAATAAATAAACGTTGAAAAAAAAAATTAACGTGTCCATATGCTACTCACGGACCGAATTCTCCTTCTGGAGACTCTGGGTGGTACATCTGTTTGTTCTTGGCTGGTGCACCTTCCAGTGTTGACGTGCATTCCCTTCACTCATTCATAAAATCTTAGCACATGTCGGCCTTGTTTCCCTTCAGGTGAATAGAAAAGTGTCAAGCAGCTTTATTGAAAGTTTAGTTGGAAACGTACCAAATCCGTGTTTTTATTTTGGGCAAGAGTTCGCTCATTTATGTTGATGGAGAAGGTGGTTACTGCTCAGTTTACCCAAGCCCTACTTTTGCTTCTAATAATTTTGTCATTTTCTTGTATCTAGAACTTCTGTTACTTTTTTTTAACCTTTATTTTTGAGAGGGAGAGAGGGAGACACGGAATCCGAAGCGGGCTCCAGGCTCTGAGCCGTCAGCACGGAGCCGGACGCGGGGCTCGAACCCACAAACCCTGACCTCATGACCTGAGCCGACGTCGGATGCTTAACCCACTGAGCCACCCAGGTGCCCCCATACTGGTATCTTCTAAATAAGCCTTGTTGTCAACCCCCCTCCCACTTCCCCCCAAATATCCTCAAGCCTTTAGCTCTCCAGGAGGCCCAAATGACGCGAAAGGCTTCACGGTAAGGAAACCATAAACTGCAGGACAGAGAGCAGAGCCCCGGCTCCCCCTGCGGACCTGGCCCCCTGAGGCCAAGGGCCACAGCAGTGAGTCCGTGGCTGCCTTCTGAACGGAGACCAGGAGCTCTCAACGGGGAAGGGGTGGTGTGGGGCTGGCAGGAAGGGAAGGAGCTGGCAGGAAGGGGTGGTGTGGGGCTGGCAGGAGCGTCAGGCAGGTTGAGCGGCAGGGCTGGGGGTGGGGGGGTGGGACAGTCCTGGGGGGAGGCCAGTGGCTGGGGAGGGAGGCCACTGAGAGAGAGAAGCCACTGAGAGAGACAGGCAGGCTTCCGGGCCAACAGCGGGGATCCGAGCGCCGACTCTGCCAAGCCCGGCACGTTTTCGCACCTCCCCGCCGGGGACAACCTGTCTCAAAGCCAGCCTGTGACGGTGACACCAGTCACCGTCCTCACTGTCCTCCCGGCCAGGCAGCCCCTCGGGGCCTCCCTCTGGGGGGGGGACGTGTGCCTGGAGGACAGACCGGGGCCACACCGTGTGTGGCCCCAGCACAAAGCACAAGCCCGCACGGGGAGGCTTCGCCAAGTGTTTATTGAACAAAGACCGCAGGGAAGACCGTCACGGGCGCTCTCCACACGTGAGAAGCGGCCCTGTGGGAGATAAAGAGTGTTCGCGGCCGCATGGGTTGGAGTCCGTTACAGGCACAGGGCTGGCGGCCACCTTTGCGTCAGAGGACACGGGTGGGACTCCTCCTCCTCAGGCCTGCAGGCAGGGCCCGGGGGCGAGGCCCTAGGCGGTGTCCCTGCCACCTCGCCCAGGGCAGGACTCGCTCCGTCAGTCCGTCTGTCCGTCCGTCCAGGCTCACACCAGCGGGATAGGGTAGGAGGCACAGGCCGCCAGCCCACACATGTTCTTTCCGCGCTCGATGAGGAAGTACCTGGGCAGACAGGGTGGGCGGGGGCCTGGCTGGAGCTTCCTCACCACAGACCTTTCTGGAAGGTCTTACCGCTCACCAAGATCTGGCTCCGGGGGTGAGGGCGTCTGAATTTACCCATAAAACAGGAGCGCTGGGCTTACTTTATGGTCAGAAAACCTGACCTGACTTTGCGAAGACCTTTTCCTTGTCTCTCTTCGGCTGACATATTGTGTCCACACCCCACCTTCCCCAGAATTTTCCGGGGCTCCTTCTCAGCCCTGACCTAGGCCCTCACATAGTTATGTATGGTCTCTGTCCCCGCCCCACCCTGCCCTAGGACGCAGACTCTGGTGGGGGACGGGACAGAGTCCCCTCAGGGCATGTACCCAGGGCACCTGGTGCCAGCCCCTGGCTGTTAACGGTCAGGGATAAGCTCGTTGCCTTGGTAACCTGCCCACCCAGCCCGGTTCCCTCCCAGCAGGGCTCTATGCTGGTTCTGGTTCCGGCCACAGATCCCCCTGAGACAACGTTCCCGTTCCTGACACACGACTGTTAAGATCTGGGGCTCAGGGCAGGCGGGGGCTGCCAGGGACGTCTCCGGGGTGCGTAGCTCACAGTCTCGGGCCCCTCCCCGGGGGCCTGCACGGGGTCTCGGCCAACTGGCCCCTGCTCAGAAGCCACACACTCGACGGGGCGGCGACCCCTCCAGGGCCCCCCGACCCGAGCAATCACGCCCTTCCCAGCTGCTTACCCTTTCATCCCCCACTGGGGACCCCAAGAGTTTTTCACGATCCAGTAGGGAACCCCATCTTTTTCTCCATACCCAACAGCCAGTACCGCGTGGTTTACTTTATCTGGAGTTTTATGACAGGAAGTGCTGGAGAACGAAAATAAAAAAGGTTTGAACACACGGGAAGCACGAAAGCATCCGACGGCTCAGCCCCCGTCCCACGGCGGTCCTCGGAGGCTCCAAAGCAGTGTTTCTCAATGCGGGCACCGGGGCCACGTAAGGAGAACCAACTCCGCTCACGGCGCGAGACACGTAGTCCCTCCAGTCCTCTCGGTTCCGTTCTCACAAAGGAGCGCACGAGGGGCGCTGGCCCAGCTACAAGCCCGGACGCTCTCTGACGCCTAATTCACAGCAAGGAGAGACCACCCTCCAGCTGCACCTGTCGTTTCTACTGCACCTGTGCACCTGTGCACTTGCCTTACCTCCTCCCATACCCGCACACCTGTGCACCCGCCCCGCTCCCGCACCTGCGCACCTGTGCACCTCCCACACCCGTGCACGCAACAGTATCTGGGGTGTTGCTTTGTTGCCATTGAATTCATTTTTAAGACCACCGGTACTTGGGGCAAGCGCACAGGTTTTCCGTGGACAACGGGGAACCAGTTTCCACAAGGAAATCCTAAGAAACTCAAGAGGACAAGAGGCGGTGCTGACTCGTCACTGGGCTGACGCCTGACTGGGTTCCTGCTCTGGGACAGGCCAGGGCAGGTGGCGGTGCACCTGCAGGGCCCGCGGCTCTGCTCCCGTCCCGGGGAAGCTTCGCTCGGCAGGAGGCCCCTGCCGGATGGCGACCCAGGGCTGAGGAGCCCGAGAAAGGCAGGCCTGAAACCACAAACCCTCAGTGTGGCTGGGGTGGGGCGCGAGGGCCGAATGGGGACCACGCGGCAGATGAGCTCAGAGAAAGAAGGGCCAGATCACCGGGGTCCCCCAGCCCAGCCGACCCTGGACCATGGACGGGTACACTGAGGAGGCAGAGGCTGGCGTGGCTGGAGAGCGCTCCGCAAGGCGGACTCTGGCTCTGAGCGGAGGGCGGCCCGCCGGTGGGGCACAAGGACACGTGGGTCAGAGCACATTTCTGGGCAGCGTTATGAGGGTGGGGAGGAGACGTGTCGGATCTGAGGTCCCCACGGGCCACCCGCTTGAGCTGGCCGGACGGCCGTGGGTCCCGTGGGCCTGCTCATGACGTGGGACAGGCGGGTGGCCAGAGGCAAGCGTGAGGTGAGCCCCGTCCCAGAAACGCTCAGTTTTCTGAAGAGCGGTGTGGGGAGACTCCCGGCGCGGGGTCCCGAGAGCGGCCGCTTTCTCCTCCCTCTCTCGCAGCTTCCCACCCTGAACGCGGGTGTTTTCGGCCGCGGGCAATTCTTCCACCGACGCAGAGCAAGCAAGCACTGTCGCCGAGCGGCCCGGTCTGTCCTCCTCCCCGCTCCTCGCCACACCAGACTCCACGCCCGGAGCCGCGGGGCCCGAGTGGGCCGCGGGAAATGCCAAGCCCGCGGCGCCCTCAAGCAACGGCCTGGCCAGGAGTCGGGGACGCCCGCCCGGCCCCGGCCCTGTGGCTGTGGGCCCGCTCACCTGGAGTAGACGCCCTTTCTGTACATCATGAAGTCGTCGGTGACCTCGAAGGCAAAGCTCACGGGGTTGTACAGGGCCACCGCCTCCACCATCGCCTCCTCGTCATTCTGTGGACACACAGTCTCTGTCACCTCTGACCCCGTTCAAAACGTGCTCCTTCGTTCCAGGGTAGGGACGGAGGCTGGGGACTGGGTGGGTGCACGAGGAAGGAAGAGAAGACTGCGTTGGGCCAAAAAGCCACTAAGGGGCGGAGGCTGCACCCTCCACCCAGCAGACGGTGGGGGTTTTGCCTGAATGGCCCGGTTCCTGCCCTTTTTTATTTGGCTTACGGGCTGCTCCCCTGAAACCTCGGCTCCCCTGTGACCCTCCTTCCCTTCGCTGGGCCGGTCTGCTGGCGATCTCTCTTCCTAATAAGGAAACCCTCAGGGTGGGGGCCATGGGTGCAGGCAGGCCGGCTCCTTCTGTCACTGCGCTCCCCCTACAGTCCCTCCATGACTCCCCCTCCCCTGCCTACGGGACGCCTGCCCTCACAAAGCCAGCAAAATCAACCACCTCTCCCTCTGCCTGTGTCCTGGCGTGAAGCCAGCCGCGGGCACTTCACGTTGTGGGGTTGTTTGTTACGGCAGCATAACCTGGCTTATCCTGACTGATGCACATTCATACTCGGTGAATCTGCATTCACTCTCTCACGCACACGCTGATGGCACTCACACACACACCCCGTGTTGCGGGATGGGAGTCGCTGCCTGCAACTTACGGAGGAGGACACGGAGACAAGGCTGGAGCCCTGCACAGACAAAGGTCAGAGCCCCCGCGCCTGATGCTAGTCCCACGCTCTGCCCCTCCCGCCTCCCTCCCACCCTCTGCCGCCGCGGTGACTGGGCACAACGATAAGACCTTCTAGTCAAAGTGCTAGGAGAGGAGGCTGCGCGCTGTGCCCCGGACCCCTCGTGAGAACACAGTCCCCGTTGGAGGGAAGGATCCAGTACTCACGATTGTGATGTTGGCTACGTCCTTCACGAAGGCAATGGCCTTGCTGGGCTGGAATTTGCAGTCCCCGTCCTGTTCAGGCAAACGGTGTGGAACACGGGTGAGGGAGGCTCGGCCCCAGGCTGGGACTTCAGGCCTCCCCCGAGCCGGCTGATGATGTCTGCGGAGCCAATGCCCCGTGCGCCGGGGCCGGGTGATGGGGTCACTTAAAAGGGAGTCAGAGGCATCCTTGTTTTCAAGGAGCTCACAGGGGCGGGACGGCCTGGCACTGGCTCCGGCAGAGGTGGGCTCACGGGCACTCGGCGGGACGGAGGTGAGTGCGAGCCTGCCCGGCCGGGGAAGGGAGGGACGACTCAGCGGGTGGACCGAAGGAGCAGCTGTGTGACCTCCGACGGCTGAAAAGGCAGACTCGAGTGAGGGTCTAGGGTGGGGACGGTCCCCAGACAGCCCACCGGTGGCCGGCAGGTTTTCAGGGGGCTGATGCCGCTCATCGGTGCGGGGACATGCAGGCGGAGCCACAGGTCTGGGGGAAGGACAGGGCTGTGGACGGGGAGGACGTGGCCCGGTGACCCGTGGCGTGTTCAGTAGGCCTTGAGAAAGAGGGTGCGGGTGCTGGAGGGCGTGCTCTGGCACCCACGGCAGACAGGGGGAGCAGCCGAGGCTGGCGCCGGGTGGGGGGGAGGACCCGAAGCGGCGGGAGGGCAGTGCTGCAGCCTGGAGGGGAGGACGAGGCACTCCCCGAGGCTGAGGGGTCGGCGGTGCGCAGCCCAGGCCACGAGGCCGTGCCACCCAGGGTTACCTGGCCCTTGTAGGGATAGGTGTCTTCACCCATGATGCCTTTGTTGTACCGGATGTACTCGAACGCCTGGCTGGGGAGGCCCCTGTGAGAAGCACGAGCGGAGGTGTCTACCTGAACCGGCCCCGCCACCGGCGGCCCCTGCAGGCGCTGGACCTCGACTGGGGCAGGGCCCAGCCGCAGGGGAGCTCTCTGGGCGCGGGAGGGGCTGGCAGGGCCGCCCCAGCTCCCTGGCCCCGGGACAGACACCCGGAGTCCGAGGACGGTCAAACGTGTCAGGGGCACAGAGAGCCCTTGGGCGTCTCAGGGACCCCGGGCCCAGGCCCTTTTGCCAGGAAGAGCAAGCAGTCCCACCGGACGGCAGAAGGGACCCGCCAACGGCCTGCTCTGGCCGCCGCCGTGCCCGCTGGGCCCCCAAGCGCAAGGCGCTTTGCAAACATGACCGCCCAGCTCCTCCCGCGAACCCCGTGTGGCCCATACCGTTATTTCTTGGGGCTCAAAGACGCTGAACAACCTCCCAGGGACCCCTCAGCCACAGCCACGGAAAGAGGGCGGATGGTGGAACCAGACAGGCCTGGGCTTGGATCCCAGCTCTGCCGAAGTCCGGCTAAGGGACCTTGGGCATATGACCGTCCCCTCCACGAAGCCGGGACGACTCTCCTCCCACCGCTGACCCAACAGAAGCGGTCGTGGGAAACGAGGGGGGCTCTGGGCCCCCGGGCAGGGACGCACCCTTGGCAGCCATGATTATTGAAGTTCTGGGCACAGTCGACCAGCTGCTGTTCCGCCTGCAGGAAGGGGCGAGCGCGGTGAGCGAGCGCGGTGAGTGAGGGCTGGCGCACACCCCTGTGGCCTCATCGGCACTGTGTCAAGGCCGGTTACAAGCACCCAGGGTGGGGACAGCAGGTGTGCGGGGGCAGGCCAGGGCCGGCGGGCGAGGGCAGGTGGCCGCTGGGTGCTGCCCGTAGGTGTGCACGGCGAGGCTCGTGTGCCCACGGTGGCAGGCCTCACTGGAGACCCTGCTCCGCCCTCCGGGCCCTGCCCCTCGCCCCCCTTGCCCTGGGGTCACGGGGTCAGCAGTCGCACACACAGGCCCCGCTCTTCCCTCCTGTTGACAGCCGCGGCAGTCGGAAGAGCAGGGCTCCCAGACGTGTCCCACCCCGCAGGCGCTGCTTTCTGAAGTCCCCTCAGGCCGCCAGGACCAGCGCCACCTGGGCACCACCCGGAAAGGGCCCTTGGCTGTGTCCTGGGGAAACCTCATTCCTTTCCGGCAAAATGTCCGTGGAGACTCCCAGGCCGAACGTCCACAAGGCTGGGGGCCCGGTGCCAGCTGGGGCAGCATCGCCACCGAGCCCCGAAGGAGCCTGAAGGCCCACCTGGCCCTCCTGCCAGGCCCTGGGGCCAAGCCACGACCTCCGTGGGTGGCCCCAGGGGCGGGCTGCTTACCAAAGACAGCAGTTTCCCGGTTTTGATGGCGATGGCAGACTCCAGGGCCCCCGTGGTGGAGAAGGTCCAGCAACTGCCACAGCCGCCCTAGAGAGGCCGGGGCGGGGGTCAGTCACAGGGACCCCAGGAGGGAGGCTCCCGTGCCCTCGGACCCTTGCGGGGTCCCTCCTGTTACAGGTGGGGTGCCCGAGGCCTGCAGAGGAGCAGGAGTGGCTGCCAGCCATGGGTGCCTCCTAGCCCCGGCCCCTCGCTGACCAGGCCCCACGGCCCCGTGAGGGCCGGAGCCCCCGTCTCTGGATTTCCTCCTCCTTCTGAATCTTACGCTCCTCCTCCACTCCCCATGGTTTCTCAGCAGGACTCGCCCAAGTCTTGTTTCCAGAACCTTCTCTGTCACCTCTCCACCTCCAACCTCACTCCACCCACTGTCCTCACGAGCAAACTAACAACTCCCCAAACCCTGTGTCGGCCCTGACCTCCATCGGGGCCCAGATGGTCCCACCCCACCTCGCCCACCTGCCACAGTCACGGCCTGCCTCGGGGCGCCATGCGGGTCAGGCGCCACAGCTTGGCTGCCTGTGTGTCACCGCTGTGCCAGCCGGGGGTCACCTCCATCCCGTCAACTGTAAAACGGGGCCGGCGCGCCTGCCTCGCGGGGCTGTGAGAGGCGCAGACAGGGTCCTGTGGCTCAGGCCTCATGCCTCTTCCTCCCTGACTGGTCGGCCCCTGAGCGCCCCTCTCATCACCCCTCACCGCCCAGGGGTCAGTCCTCCGGCCCTGCCGTCCCGCAGAGGGCCTTCCTGCTGGCCTCTTCCTCCCTCCGTTCGGGGAGGACCCCGTCCGGTCAAGAAGACCTTATCACGGACAAGGAGAAAATGTTTCTCAGCGAGAGTCTCAATGGAAGGCCAGTGTTCCTCGGGGGGTGGGGACTTCCCCTCATACTCTCTGGAGGTGAGGGGATGGTGTCGTCCTGGAGAAGGCCAGCGAAGGCCGCTGCACTGTGACTTCTGGGGGAGGGACATCGTGGGCAGAGGGGACGGCAGGGGGCAGGGGCAGACTCCCCGGAACACGGCCGGCTGCCTCACGGCTTTGTGAGGGCAGGAGGCCAGGCCACTGCAGGGGGCGGCCGGCCAGAGCGTGCCTGGCGGGCGGGCTCCACGCCGCGAACTGACCGCCAGCAGCCACCCAGCAGGAGAGGCTGGCCAGGCCTCGCTGGGCGGATGGAGGGTGGGAAGAAACGACATGGGGTGGCAGGAACGGGGTCCCGGGGTCCCATCTCCGAAGGGCGCAGAGAATACAATGTTCGGAGGGACTTTATAGGAGACCTGGGACGCATGGGGAACCCTGGGCGTGGGGGGCACAGCCGAGCTTCAGTCTAACAAGGAGGGACTTTGTCTCCCTCCAGAGCAGCCCCCAGCATCACCTCACAGCCTCCCAGAGGCGGGGGGGACGGGGGACACACACAGATCTGGGGACACCTGCCATGCAGGTCTGGGTTCTTCTGGGAATACTGTCTGCGAATGTGGCGATTTGGAGGGGAAGGGGGGGGTGCCGCGCATACCTGATTTTTCACTGGCGAGACATACTTCCCCCTTGTGCGCCAGTCCACAAACGGTGGGTAGGGACCAGTGCCCCGCAGGTAGTTACCTCTGGTGGCTGAGCAGTTCTGCAACAGCCAAACACAACGTTTTCAGGGGAAAAGCGTGCAGTTAAAACAGAATCACCGACCGAGAAGGAGAAAGAAACATCCCGCCCCCAGCGACTGGGTCCAAACGCTAACAGACGCGTGCCTTTCAGAGCCCCGGCCGGAGAACCAGGTCCGGCAAATAAAAATGCAGTTCCTGCAGTTAAATTTGAACCTGACGTGAACGGTGAATAAGTCTGTTGTTCAGCCTAAGTACGCCCCGTGCACGTTTATGCCACATTTACACCAAAAAGTTACGTGCCGTTTGCATGAAATTGAGTTTTAACTGCGCATCTGTATTTTCTGGGGCAACCCGAAGTCTGGGGTCCACAAGGCTGAGGCCACAGGTGTGGACGGAGGAACTGCTCCGAGCGGCCTCTCTGACTCCCCAAGAACCCCGGTGAGGGGGTGGGGCGGGCTCTGCTGGGAAAGGTCTGAGCGGAAGGAGTCCCGTCTGGTGACAACACACAACACCTACCTGAGGCTCCGACCAAAGATACTTGTGTTTTATTTCGGCAAAGCTCATGTCCGAAAACTGGTTCAGTCCCACTGAAAAAGAGAAGGAAAAGCAAAAAACCCAAAGAAAGAGGGGCTCCTAAGCCACTAAGAAACAGAAAAGACAAAGAGACCCACGTTAACCTGCGTCCCAAGTCTGCAGCAGCCGGTGCCCTCACGTGTTCTGAACGTGACGTGACCTAACACGCCAAGGTCAGGCGTGCCTGTGCCTCCAAACCGCCCGGGGAGCGTCTCAGCTGTGCGCGCGTGGGCTGCGTGGCAGGGATGTGGGTGCGGTTAGTGGGGGGGGGGGGGGGCCTGGGCACCCAGCGCCTGACACCCGGCCGGAGAGCCCGATGGCCGTCCAGGCGAAGAGCCTTCCACCGGCCGTCACCGCCGCACGGGGCGGGGAGCACTCCCATCTCCCCCACAGCCCAGTGAAGCATCAGAGGCATCGACGAGCTCCCCCAGGACAGCACGGCCAGTGTGGGCAGAAACAAGAGCCACGCACAGCTTTCCCGTATTACGCCTGCTGCCCACACCACGGTCAGCTGGCCCTGCCGTGGTTTCTGAGGCCCTGGATATACCGTGTGCACGTGCTTCTAGTGACTTCTCGTGACGCCACCCCGGAGGGAAGGCGGACGTCCCTAGAGGCTGCTCCTAAGTGCAGAGCACCGAAGCGGGGGCTGCTGGCCAGCACTCCAAGGGCAGGGCTCAGCATCGGGACGGACCCTCGGCGGGCAGGAGCGGGCAAGAGAGGGCAGGGCTCCTACACGGTCTCCTATAGACCTCACGACCCGCGGGGGGGCCCGGTACTGTCCTGCATCACAGAGACCTCTCGGAGCCCAGCAGAGCCGGAATCCGGGGTCCGCTAAATACAGCTGCAGAGCCGGGCTCGGGACGTGCCCGCACCCTAACTCCCGGCGCGCCTTCCACCCTCGGGCGCCCCTAGCGCGCGTGTGTCCGGCCCTGAGACGCGGCCCCGGGAGCCTGGCGGGAAGGCGGCCCCGCGGTACTTTTAAAGGTGTGGTTCCCAGCGTTGTGGGCGCTTATCCTCCTCCAGTTGCCGACAAAGGTCTGCAGCCTGCGCTGGTACTCCTCTGAGCTGTATCTCTTTTGGTGCTAAAACAAAACACATCAGGCGTAAGTCACGGAGACGAGCGGCGGCTCGCCAGAAGGAGACGGTTCGTTTCCTAAGAGGAGGGCTGGAGCTTTCCTTTCCGCCTCGACCCTCGAGGGAGCCGTGCTAGTGGGCGGGCGCCGCTGAGGCGTCTGCTGAGGAAGTCAGGAGGTGGCCAAGCGCGGCCCTGCCTCCGGGGACCTGTGGCCGGAGCGAAGGCGAGGGGCCGAGTCCCGGAGGCCCCGGGAGAGACGGGCCACGTGCAGGTCCTCCGCGGACGCACAGCCGCTGCCGGGTCAGGTGCCTGTCAGACATCACCGTCTCTCGGAAGCACCTGCACTCGTGTCCCCCAAACTGCCCCGCGGCCGGCAGGCGTCGCACGGCGATTGGAACGGAACACACACCTCGGAGGTGAACGCGCTCGCGTCGCTGAATCTTTCCCGCTTTGGCCAGCTCCCTGTCCGGAAGGCCCCAGGGGCAGGGGGCTGGAAAATCCCTCCCCGTCGCCTCAAATCGGGCACAGCAGGGCGTGAGAACAGGCAACAGAGAGGGGAAGATGGGCGGAAAGAAGCTGGGCACTGACCTGGACCATCCATGACTTAAAGTGAACTTTCTCTGTAGAAAGGAAAAAAAAAAAACCAAACAACCAGATTAGGCCCCGGGTTCCTGGCCATGATGCTGGCCGGCAGCCAGGCAGGGCACTTTAGAACTGATTTGCATCTCAGGAAACTAGGCTACATTCAAAGCACCGAAAATGGTGTTGTGTCGCACAGAATGCCAAAAAGCCCTCAAACTCTCACTGCTGCTGCGGCTGTGGGAGCGGAAACGGCCGGTGGGTGTCCTCGGGGCGGCGCCCAGACGACAGACGGGGCCCCCGGTACTCTTTTACCCCACGTGGGTGCCGGCTGTGCATCTGTGTTTATGTGGTCCCCAAGGGCCAACAGATTTCTTCTTCAAGGGGCAGATAACAGATATCTCGGTCTCTGCAGGGTCCCGTGGTCTCCGTCACCGCCACCCTGCTCTGCCCCTGCCATGTGACCACGCTCCGGTAAAACGTGAGTCACAAACGCTGCCCCGCAGTGCCCGTACGCGGGGTTTTGTGTTGTCTGCAATTTCGCGTTACATTTCAGTGGCTGCGAAGGACGCATTCCAGCTTATTGTAAATACTGGCATTTTAAAATGAGACGGCCACATCGTTCTCTCAGAGTTAGCCAGGGAATCCATGTACAACACCGCGGTGGGAAAGTCGCCATCCGCAACAGAAGGGAGCGGGGCACGTGTTCACACTCGATGCCCGACCGTCCTTTCAGGCGACGAGGACGGAAAGTATGCATTTAAGTTATTTTTACTTCCTGTGACTCACACATCCCTGAACATTATACAAATGTATTCTGGATTGAATAATCATCATTAACAGCCCAACTGATTAAACTATTTCAGGGGCGCCTGGGCGGCTCAGTCGGTTAAGTGTCTGACTTCGGCTCAGGTCGTGATCTCGTGGTCCACGAGTTCAAGCCCCGTGTCGGGCTCTGTGCCGACAGCTCAGAGCCTGGGGCCTGCTTCGGATTCTGTGTCTCCCTCTCTCTCTGACCCTCCCCTGCTTGCACTCTGTCTCTCTCTCTCTCTCTCAAAAATAAATAAGCATTAAAAAAGATTTAAAAGTATTCCAAATATAGGCTATGAAAAATAATCGTTAAACATGAAAAACAAACTTGTATCAGAAGTGCACCCCCTCATGAGATAAACAGGACTTTACTAACAACACCTGCTCGTGGATTTATAGATTCATGAGTGAATATTTCCTATTTTTTTTGAACGGGTCAGCATTAATTCTAGGAATAAATCAAAGGACTAAGAAATCCTGCTAAGTAAGCAGATCTTAACTGCCGATTGCTTCTGGGAATGGAAGGCAATTTTTAGAGCAAAGGCTCTCAATTCCTCTGTTCCTAATCACATGATGCTCTACAACCCCATCAGCTGATACCTCTGTGAGGCCCTCTCTTCCATCTCTGTTTCCTTGAAGAACCAGCAACAGCCTTGAAGAAGGATTTGTTACCATCTGTCTGCTGCCTCCGAGGTGTTTATGACCACAAGGCCCAGACTTTAGGACAAGTGAGAGGCGCTCTCTCCCGGAAGATCAGTGTTAGCAAAGAGGATGTTTGGAAGTAAAGGGGCTGGACGCTGACCCCTTATCTGTGCCCAGGTCACTGGGAATTTCTCTGTGTTCCTCCAGGGTCTGCCATCCCTCCCCGTCCCTCCCCGCCCCTCACCCCCACCTTGAAATTCCCCCGGTTAAAGAGCACTGCTTCTCAGCATTCTGGCTTCCCTGTGTGGGTCACACGCCTATTCAGAAACCAAGTTGTTGCCACTTTCTCTGGGAAAGAAACACCCGTTTCTCCAGTACAATCCGGTGAAAGGTTTCAGAGGGTTCCCAGTCCTGGTTTAGGGCCCTGTGCAGCAGGTGGTTTCAGAAGATGACAGACCTCAACTCAGGACCAGGGTTTGAGGCCAGACGGAGCTTAGGACAACTGACTGGCCTCTTTGCCTCTGGGTGATTTCAAAACCAGCAAGCAGGTGTGACGAGCCTGGCCTATTCCTCATTCGCTGGAGGTCAGTGGGAGAAAAACCCAGAGATGCTCTTGGGGCTGGGCCCGAAGGACCTGCTGGTGAGCCCAGAGTCCCAGCCTCGGACACGCCCATTTCAAACCCACTGTGACTTCTGGAGGGGGCATCTTCACGTCTGCCCTGTCTGGGAGACTGTGCACAGGACAGCAAGAGCAGGGGTCAGCAAACTATGGCAAGCTGGAAAATGTTTGTTTTACACTTTCGAAGGATTGAAAAACATACACAACATTCTGTAAGACCTGAGAATCATCTGAGTTCAAATTTCAGAGTCCAGAAATAAAGGTTTATGGGAACACAGCCCCGCTCGCTCCCGTACACACCGTCTACGGTTACCCTCACCAGCAGAGTTAAGTAGTCGCTACACACGGTGTGACCCACAGAGCCTAAAATATTTCCCATCTGGCCCTTACAGAAAGAGCTTGCGGGGCCCGGCTCTGGAGTTAGTACGGGTGCCTGTGCGACAGTCCACACAGCCACACAGCCGGGGCTGAGCACAGCCCTGGCCCCCCGGGGGAACTGGGTTCTCCTCAGCTTGGGGCTGACCTGCAGCTGGCCCCCTCGCCCCCACCCAGGTTTGCAAGACCGGGGGGGGGGGGGCTTTCTAGCACAAATGTGTACAGAGGAACGAGGCAAGATTCTGAGCCAACAAGATTCAGCCTCCGTGATCTCTGTCCCGTCCCAAGGCTGTCCCTTGGCAATCCTCTGGGTGCAGGGCGAGTAGGGCAGCAGCAGGGAGGGCGGCAGGCTCGCAGGGAAGGGCCCTCAGCCTGGGGAGGTGCCCAGGGCCGCAGCAGCAGCAGAAGGGGTGCAAGAACAGAGTGCCCCCGGCCTACAGGGCAGCCCTGGGGCCTGACCGTCCACCAAAGCGCTTGGAGCAGCGCCCTCAGGCTTCAAGGGCTAGAATAGGTCGCTCCTGCAAAGCCCACTCTACAGGACTCTCAGGGCAACTGTGGAGATCCCCAGGAAGTTGCCAGAAAGGCTGGAAAGTCCCTGCTCATCCCCGCAGGGGCACAGCCAATCCTCTACGTCCCCCCGCGGGGCGTGGAGGCAGCGGCTTCTCCGGGGCTCCAGGCCCTGCAGGCGCCTGGGCCAGTGGCAGCCCACCCGCTCCTCTGGTCACGCAAGACGCCCTCTCAGCCTCCCCCTCCTCCCGGCCCCCTCCCCTAACGCAGTTCACCCCTCCCGGGTCCTGGGGCCGGGGAGAGGCCCTGCCTCACCGCCCCCAGCCAGGTGCTCCCCACCCCCGCCCGAGCCGGCCCGGCCTGGGCCCTCCCCCGCGGCGCCCCCTCCCCGTACCTAAGGAGCTCACGTAGAGGTCGGCGGCGCCGCAGGCCGGGGGTCCCAGGAGCCCCGCGCCCGCGCAGAGCAGCGACAACACGGCCCACATCGTAGCGGCTTGACCCGCGGACTGGCTCCGAGGGCCCAGGAGCGCGGCGGAGGCGGCTCCGGGGCGGGGGCGGGGGCACCGGGATGGGGCGGGGCTCCGGGGGGCGGGGCGGGGCTCCAGGCGGGGACGGGGGCGGGGGCACCGGGGGGCGGGGCTCCTTGGGGGAGGGGCACCGGGGATGGGGCGGGGCGGCGGGGCGGCGGGGCGGGGTTCCAGGCGGGGGCGGGGCTGCGCCCGCTGAGGAGACGCACCTGAGGTGCGCGCTCTGTCGCCTCTTCCTCCTACGGTGCAAGGAAGGCCTTCGCGGGCAGGGGTTGCTGCGGGGCAGTCACAGCGTGACCTCGTCTCCCTGCCCGCCCCCACCCCCGGATGCCCCTATCTCCACCGTCCGCCCCCACCCCCCGCAGCCCCTCATCTCCTTGCCTGCCCCCCTGTCCCGCAGCCCCTCCTCTCCCCTGCCCGCCCCGCAGCCCCCCATCTCTCCCGCCCGCCCCCGCCCCCTGAACTCCCATCTCTGGTCCTCATTAACCACGTTGGAATGAACTTACAAGTCATATATAGTCTTCCCTCTTTCTGCAGATTTCCCAAATACGGAAAATGGCCCTGAAGCTGCTAATAGGACTTGTTTTGTGAGGCTCCCCCCGCCCCCGCCCACGTCGGGGGCCATGTTCCTCACCTTTGTACTCGCCACAGGTTGTTCACCCCCCACCCACACTCCCATTTTATGGATGGGGAAACTGAGGCCCCAGAGTTTGTGGTAACTGTCCCAGGAAGCGTGTGTTGGGAATCCGAACCCAGGTTTGCTCTGCCGCAGTCTGTCATTCTCCATTTTTGCAGCCAGAGGCAATTTGGGGTGCGGTCAGGGCCTGTGGGGCTGTTCTGTCTCAGCTCCCACCTCTCTCCCCAGGGCTCTTCTCTCCCAAAGTTCTCAGCCCGGGCTGTGCTCTGAGGCCCCAGGGGAGCATGTTGGGGCGGGGGGGATGAGGGTTGTCTCCTAGGATCTGGCTGGTGGGTAGGGGCCCAGGAACATGCACGGAAGGGGCCTAAGGGTGATCTCTTGCGGCGTGTGGACACTGATCTGCAGGAGAACCGGCATCGGTGCCCGCAGACTGTCCTGGCAGATAAAGCAGATCTTTGTCAGTGTGTGACTTTGCTCCCGTCTGGATGTCCCTCTGGTGCACTTTGAGGCAAAGATCTCGGATAATGCCCCGCAGTGAGGTTTGGTAAGTCCCCGGCCTCGGGAGGACGCACGGCTGGCCTCTCCCGCAGCAGGAAACACCGCACCTGCCCATCCCAGGCGCCTCTGACCTCTGACCCCAGACCTGCCCCCTGGGCTGGGGCCCCGGTGACCCTGTGGTGTG